GCGTCAAGGCTTCAGAAGCGGCTGGTGGAGAAGCAGGAGCTACAGGAGCTCCAGAAGTCGCAGAAGCAGCTCCGGAAGACACGAAAAATGAGGAGGAGAGCGGCCAGAAGCAGGACGAGAAGAAGGAAGGGGCGGCTCCAACCGCTACCACAACTACGACAGCCTCGAAGCCCCCAACGAAGCCAGCTGGAGGCCTTCTACTCGCCGACGAATCACGCAAAACGTCCATCTGGATTCGTGGAATGGCACCGTCGACGAAGGCGTCAAGTGTGAAGGTAATTCAATGATTCTGAAAGCTTCAGACGCGTTTAGAACGCTGATAAACGCGGAAAGTTGAATTTTTGAGCGCTTAGAAGCTCTTAGAAGCGTTCAGATGACGTTCTAGAATAGTTTAGAATCACACGGCTGCTAAAAAGTGCTAAAAATTGAACTTTTGAGCTCTTGCAGGCTTTTAGAAGCGTCAAAATTGAACTGGAACTCCAGAAGATGCTCTAGAAGCCAGTTTTTGAGTCTCTGGTTCTAAAAATAAGGGAACTAGGGGGTTTATTAGCTGGATTTTTGATTTCTGAAATTTTTGGAGACGATTCTAGAAGTTTTGGAGGAAAAAACAGGATTTCGGAGCCAAAATGGACGCCTACAGTACTCTCCAAGGGATTACTGTAGTCCGACAACTGTATTTGGACAAAGCGCAAATCCCGACGACAAGCTACAGGAGATTACTGTAGCTATAGGATGCTTCTAGATGGATTATAGATTGAGAAGGATTACGGTAGCTGAACGTGTTCAAAAGGAAGAAAGGCTTCAGTGAAAGCAGATTACGGTAGCTGAAAACCTGAAATACGTTAATTGGATACTTGGATTACGGTAGCTGAAATTCTGATTCTCGGAAGCTGGAGGATTACTGTAGCATGCTGAAAATTTGGTTAACGGTAGCTCTAACTGTGGATTTCGATAGCTGAAAGTCTCCGATGGATTACTGTAACTACAGTAACCCCGGATCAGCACAAGAAGGTCTAATGCGAATTCAACGAAAGCAATGAGTCATACTCTCTGCATACGCACACAGACATACACCGGTACAATTACACTTTTGATGTATTGTTTGAATGATTTCTCGTTTTCTCTGCGTCTCTTGGTGATCTGTACTTTCTCCCTCTCATCTCCTGTGTTCCTCTATTCCTATGCAGCAGCAGCAGTTCTAGTAGGCTTTTGGGGAACAAAATTGCTGGAAATTGCATTTTAGAGAGGGCTTGGGCTGGCTGAAAACGCTGTTTTGGGCAATTCTAACACTATATCTAGAGAAAATACCGCAAAACCTGTAATATAAGGGTCCCTGACTTTCAACTTTAAGCTCATTTATCTCAGTCCCTGACCAACATATAAAAAAAAGGTCAACGGACAAAATGTTAATTATAATATAAAAAAACATTCTATCAGTTAACCACTTTTTGATATCTCTTATAGGAACCGAGATAATTGAGCTCAAAATTGACAGTATGGGGGCCCTTCTATTACAGGTTTTACGGTAGCTACATTGGACGAATGAAACACATCCAACTTCTATGAAAAAATGCCAATTCTAACCCTGAAAAAACCACTGACATTTTCAGCAACTCGCGAGTCAATACGGAAAAGTGGTCCAGGCGAAAATCTTCAATTCGCGCCCGTCGCATGAGGGGGAAATCAAGAATTGCTTCGCGTTGGTCACTTTCGCCGACGTCGCCGCTATGGATTTCGCCATCACGTCGTTGCAGAAGAAGAACTATCAGGGACGCGTGTTGAGAGTGGAGAAGGTGAGCAATCGAGCCCAAATTTGGGATTTTCCGGAGAAAATGAGCTGAAAATGGCGATTTTCAGCTAAAAATAGTCCTAATATGCGATTTTCAGCCTTAAAACCCTCGAAAATAGCTCTAAAACTATGAATTTTCTCCCTAAAATTCATTCATTCAGGTTTCCGAATCGCATCTAACGGGATCAGCGGAACGCATTGCTCAGGAGAAACGACAGATGGAGGAGAAGCAGAAGACGTCCGAATCAGTAGCCGCCACCATTGCCCCTGCACCAGAACCACCGAAGAAGAAGCAACGAGCACAGATTACGGCTCCAGAATCGACGACGCCACCGCCACGACGCCCGGCTAAGCCTTCTGAATCAACACCACAGAACGCCAAGAAGGAAGCGCGTCAAACGATTCAGGCGCCGACGTCATCAGATTTGGGCGAAAAACGACAGAAACGACCGCAAATTCAGCCGCCGGAACGGTCGAGAAGCCGTGAGAGACGAGAGACGCAGAGAAGGAAGCCGATCATTTATGACAATGAATTGCTCACGGAACGAGAGTCACCGGAACGAGACTCACGGCGAATCATCCAGGCGGCGGCGGCGACGGCTCCGCGAGCATCCAGAGTTCCCGTTTCACCGATTCGATCGTCGTCGAGACAGGGTGGAGGAGGAGGACGAGGAGCAGAGGGAAGAGAATCGTTGATTATTTCGGCACGTGTTGATACGAGGTTAGAATGTGTGGAATAGCTGAAAATGGCGCTGAAAATGGGCCAAAATCGACTGGAAATTCGAAATTCCGAGCTGATGTCCGCTCAAAATGAGCAAAATGACCAAGATCATCTAAAATGACGGTCGACCGCGGTCAGGCCCAAAACGGACAGGAATCGATTCAAAACGATCTGAGAATTCCTTAAAAGGCGAACGCTTAATGTGACCTATTTTGAGTTGAAAAGGGCCGGCAAACGAAGGAAATCGGCTTATTTTGACCATTGGTCTCTGAAATGGCCTGAAAACGGTGCAATTTAGCAATTAAAGGGGTCTGAAAAGGCCTGAAAAGCCCTAAAAGCGATTCATAGCGGGTGAAATTGGCCTAAAACGGGCCTAAAATGACTTGGATTTCAAACATGTCGGCCTAAAAATGGTCCGAATTGGCCTGAAATTTGGGGTCTTGTTGCCCTTAACGATCTCAAATCGATCTGAAACTTTCCGGATCTAAAATGATATGGAAACAGAGGGCAAGGCCTTTTTTTGGGGGGTTAAAATGGCGCAAAAAACTGAGCGATACGGCTTCAAAATGGCCTAAAGAAGCGGAAGAAATTGGCCTAAAATTGGTCCACAATCGCCTTAAAAATGATTTGCAATTCGTGGAAATCGGTTTTAAACGGTTTTAGGTCGATTCTCAAAACTTCAGGCCCATCATAAGCATCTCAGGCCGATTCTAAGGACCTGAGGCCAATCGTGTAGACATTAGGCCCCAACATAAACGTCGCAGGCCGATTCTGAAAGCCTTAGGCCGGTCGCATAGACTTTAGGCCGATCCTAAACATCTTATGCCGTGAGTACAGGTCCTAGACCGATTCTGAAGGCCTCAGCTCGATTCTAAAGGCTATAGGCCGAATCCAGGAGCCTTAGGCCGATAATAAAGGTCATAGGCTGATTCTAAAGTCCTTAGGCCGGTCGTATAAACTTTAGGGCCGAGCGTAAGGGTCGGTCCTAGACCGACCCAGAAGGTCTTAACTCGATTCTCAAGGCCATAGACCGAATCTAGGAGCCTTAGGCCGAATCGAAACGGCCTAGAGTCGTCGGCCTAGAATCAGAAACAGGCCTGAGCTTCTAGCAAACCTTTATCCTTTATTTTCTAAAAGCGTTTCCAGCAATTGTCGTGGTGGAAAAGGAGTGACCATCAAGCGCAGCGTCGAACGTTCCATTCCCAACAACATTAGCACGTCGTCGCTTCGTCGGAACGCTCCGCCCACTTCTTCAATGACGTCATCTGGGTCATCGTCTTCTCAACGTCCACGTAGCGGCGGAAGACCACCGTCACCGGCTCCACGAGCATCGTATCAAACGGAACAGTATCGAGAGCGTGGGAGAGCGGACTCTGAAGCAGGAGGCAGAAGACGTCACGAGAAATCGCCGATTCGTGAGGGATCTAGAAGACGTGACGAGGACCATCGTCATTATTCGATGGAGATCCGTGGACGTCAGCAAGAACAGGAGCCGGCTAGAAGACGTCAACATGACGAGCAGGATCGGAAGGCACAGGTGAGCCTGATGGGTGGAGGTGGAAAAAGAAATTCAAAAAATCTCGAATCCCGATGGTTATCGAAAGATTTTACGACGTTAGATGAATTTAACTCAAAATTTGACGTGGAATTGATATCCATATTGGCCTAGTTCAGACAGAAAGTGAATTCTGAACCCCCGAAGACGTCAGGAATTCAGAATCCTGATTTTTTTTGGAATATGGCAATATGGGTATCGATTCTTCTTCAATATCATACCAAATTCATCTAACGCAGTGATATCAATGCAAAATTTCCGGAATTCAAGATTTCGAACATTCTGAATTCTGACGTCTTCTGGATTCGAATTTCTAGAAAAACTATTTCGTTAAATTCATTTCTCTCGACTTTTCCGTGGTTTTGATACCAGTATTGTCTATATTCCAAAACATTTTTAGATTCTGAATCCAGAAGACGTCAGAGGATTCAGAAACCCAAAATTTTTGCAATATGGGCAATATGGGTATCAATTTCACTCTAACTCGCGAGCCAAATCCATCTAACGATGTGAAATCAATAAGAAAATGCCGAGATTCGGGTTTTTTGAAATTACAAATTTTTCAAAAATTTCCAAAAATGTCTAAATTTGCAGGAATGATGGCACTATTGGCAAAACGAGAGGAGGAGGATCGCATTCGCGAGCAACGTCGCGAAATCGAACGAGAGAAGGAGCGAATCCGTCTGGAAGCTGAGAAACTGGAAAGAGCACGTCTCGAGTTGGAAGTTCAGAAGCAGAAGATGCAGTTGGAGCAACAGGCGATGGCACTCTCGGCAGGAGCAGCAGGAAATGGACGGTTCTCGAGAGAAGGCTCCTCATCGTCGTCCAGAAGACGTCAGGCTTCTGATGTCTTGGCTCCGCCCACTCTGCCGAAGATTCCGCATCGAGATGATCATCGATCATCCTCCAGAAGAGAAAGTGAACGATCGGCTCCAACCATGTCTAGTAGTAGTAGACGTGCAGCAGAGAGTCGTACTTCTGGAGGCTCACGTCATCAGGCCCCTTCGTCTCACACCACGTCGTCTTCAGCTTCTTCCCGTCAAACGCCGACTTATGGAATTCAATCATCTGGAATTGCACGTGGCACTGACTACAGTAGAATGATGGATCCACCACGTTCGGGATACTCGAGTAACAGCAATAGCACTACCAGCACCAACTATCGTGGCGGCTCATCAGGAGGATATCCCCTAAATAATGCTGCTGGAAATCAGGGATACCAAGCATATGGATTTGAGAATAATGGTGAGCGTGTTTTTCCAGAAAAAACAGGCTAAAAATTCGGTTGTTAAGGATTTTGAACTTTTGAATCTCAAAAATCTCGAATTCTGTTATTTTTCTGTTGATTTCACGACGTTAGATGGATTTATTTCAAAATTTGAAGTGGAATCGATACCCATATTGACCTAGTTTAAACAGAAATCGAATTCTGAATCCTTGGACGTCTTCTGGATTCAGAATCTTAAAATTTTTTGAATATGAGCAATATGGGTATCAAAATGATGTGAATTTTAAGAGAAAGAAAGTTGACGAAGTGAAATTCTAAAATTTGAAAATTTCGAGATTCTGAATACCGACGTCTTCTGCATTCAGGAGACGGCAAAATTAAGATTTTTAGGTGTTAACTTTATTTCCCAATAAATTTCCGTCATTTTGAAACCCACATTGCCCTATTTTTGAAACTTCTGGAATTCTGGATCCTCTGACCTCTTTTGGATTCAGAATCCCGAAATTTTTGGAGTATGGGCAATATGGGTATCAAAATGACGGGAATTTCGAGAGAAAGAAAGTTGATGAAGGGAAAATCTTGATATTCCACGTTTAAAAATTCTGACGTCTTCTGAATTTTTCAAAAATCCAAATTTCAAGAGTTTCTGAATTTCCGACGTCTCCTGAATCCTAATTTTTTCAGTTAACTATCAAGTCTGGGGCGGACTCGACGACCACGGTCAAATGGCCAACCCGGATACCAACTGGACCACCGGCGCCACACCATCGACGTCGTCAACGTCTTCAGCTTCTGTAGGCCATTGGAATCAGAATCAGAATCACTACTCGACGTCATCTGGAGGCTCATCGTCACGTCGTGACTATGGATATCAACGCAACAATTACTAGAGAGTGCATTTCAGGCCCGATTTTAGGCCCTTTTCAGGCCCATTCTCTATACTTTAGAATCTCAAAAAATCCTGTTTTTTTTAATGATTTTTCTTTTTGGCTTTATTCGTTTAATTGACTCTTTTTTGATGAATTTCCCCCTGCAAAAAATTTTCCTGGCTTTATCCCCACCCCCCAATTATCCCATGCCCAATTATAATTAACTATCGTTTAATTAAATTTCCTTTCCCTTCTTTTCTGTAATTCCTTCCTATCCCCCCGTCTGCAAAAATTCAAATGAATTCCCTGGGAAAAAATTACACAAGTTTATCTATCACAAAACTTATCACAAAAAATGACCTAAAAATTCGAAAATAAGGCCTAAGACAGGCCTAAATGCACTTCATTTTATCCTGGAAATCCCCTGGGGTTCCCGCCCGATCGATATGAAAAAAATCGACGATTTGTGAGACATAATACCGGCGATCGTACCAGAATTGATTAGCCAAAACTAGATTTATGATGGATTGGTCGTATCTGGAAAAAAACCCCAATTTTTGACCTCAAAATTGGGATTTTTGGACTTTTTTGATCCCAAAAAAATCAATAATTGATCTTACCGATGACACCCCGCATAGGTCCTGAAACGGTCGTCGTCGACGAATTGACACCCGAGCACTGCGGACTTTGGAGCCATGCAATCTTCCTCGAGAGCACAGAGAAAGTACCTGGAAAATCTTTGAATATCTCGAATCGCGGCTGTTTTCACGAGATTTCACATCGTTAGATGAATTTCTCGCGAAATTTGAGCTGGAATCGATCCCCATATTAACCTCATTCGAAAATTGTCGAATTCTGAATCCTCTGACGTCTTCTGAATTCATAATTCGAAAATTTTTGGAATGTGGGTAATATGGGTATCAAAATGGCGGAAATTTTGAGAGAAACACATTTAACGATACGAAAAATCATAAAATTGAGAATTTCTAGATTCTGAATTTTGACGTCTTCTAGATTGAGAATCTCAAAGAGTTGGCAAAATGGGCAATATGGGTATCAAAATGACGGAAATTTCGTGGTAAACAAAGTCAACGATAAAAAACAGCAAAAAAACTTATTTTGGAATTCTGACTTCTTAATTTCAGATGACGTCGAAAATCCAGAATTTTTATTTCGGATTTTCTTGTGATTTTTCATCGTTAAATTTGTTTTCCACGAAATTTCTGATATTTTGATACCCATATTGCTATGATTCTGAATATTGGAAATTTTGACGTCTTCTGATGTGAAATCTGGAGAAGAGATTTTTTTTAATTCTGAATCATTTTTGAGTATTGGAATAATTTTAGATGTGTTTTCCACATTTTCAGGTTCTTCTTCTTCTCCAGATTCCAAATTTTCGAATTTTTCGAAACATAAGCAATGTGGGTATCAAAACGTTCCAAATTTCATGTGCAACAAGATCTGATAAATGAAAACTTTCAGAGATTCACAGTTTTCGAAAAAAAATTGAAAACCCCAAAAAAAATTTTTGAAAAATTTTTTCCAAAAATTCCAAATCCCCACCATTTCACAATATTCATCATGGTTTGTCGAGTATTGACTGCAAAAACGAACCCAGCATCATACATTTTCGCTTTTTCTTTTTTAAGCTCCCCCGGATTCGTGGGGAAGTACTTGTAGACTTCTGAAAACTTTCAAGTTGTCTGGAAATCTCATAAATTAGGTCAAAAGAAGAATTTCTACCGAATTCGGGACATTTTGGTACCCATATTGCTCATGTTTAAAAAATTCGAAAATTTGGAATCTGGAGAAGAAGAAGAAGCTGAAATTCGGGGAAGACCAAAATAAGGCAAAATGGGTATCAAAATGTCAGAAACCACGTGGAAAACACACCTAAAATTATTCCAAGACTCAAAAATAATTCAGAATTCAAAAAATCTCTTCTCCAGATTTCACATCAGAAGACGTCAAAATTTCGTTAATTTCAGAATCATAGCAATATGGGTATCAAAATGTTGGAAATTGAATGGACAACACAAAAAACACATTGTCCCGATTTCTTGAGATTCGAGATTCTGGAAAATCTCTTCTCCAGATTTCAGATTCCGAAATTTAAAAAAACTCGGAATCATGGCAATATGGGTATCAAAATGACGGGAATTTCATGAAAAACAAGGTTAACAACGGAAAATCGCAAAAAAATCCAGAATTTTCGACGCCTTCTGAAAACCAGAATCCAAAAAAAATCGAATTTTTTCACAAAATCGTTTACTGTAGCTTACTGTACCTGGATGCGTGACTGACAGTATCCCGTGTCCACTGTAACCGTGTAGCAAATACTGACTCTTTCGGCATTCTTGTAAATTTTTTTCCCAAATTTTCTGGTCCCAACCATTTTCATGGGGTTCTCGATTCTCACGAATATCCCTACTGTAGCTGGTGAGCATGGGCGGTCTGAAAAAGGAATACTGTAGATTTTTTGGATTACTGTTCCTTTTCCTGATTTGCTCATAATCTCCACAAAATTTCGCGTATTTTGATACCCATATTGCCATGATTCTGACATTTCGAAATTTTGACGTCTTCTGATGTGAAACCTGGAGAAGAGCATTTTCGAATTCTGAATCACTTTTCAGTCTTGGAATTATTTTAGCTGTGTTTTCCACATGATTTCTGATATTTTGATACCCATATTGTCCATCTTTGGTCTTCTCCAAATTTCAGGTTCTTCTTCTTCTCCAGATTTCAAATTTTCGAATTTTTCAAAACATGGTAGATATGGGTATCAAAATGTCCCAAATTTTGTGGAGATTCTTTTTTCAAATCTTGTTTTCCCTTTTGTCATGGATTGCCAAACATTTTTTGATTTTTGAAATTTTGACGTCTTCCGATGTAAAATCTGGAGAAGAGATTTTTTTGAATTCTGATTTATTTTTGCGACTTGGAAACATTTTAGCCGTATTTTCCACATGATTCCTGACATTTTGATACCCATATTGCCCTATTTTGGTCTTCTCCGAATTTCAGGTTCTTCTTCTCCAGATTGCAGAATTTCGAATTTTCTGAAACATGGGCAATATGGATATCAAAATGTCGCAAATTTTTTGGAGATTCTTGTTTTGATCATATTTTTATCTTTACCTTGTAGATTTTCCAAAAACTTTCAAAAAATTTGAAGAAAAGGTTTTTTGAAAAATTCGAAATTGTTGATTTTTTCATATTTTCACAATAAAAAAGGAAAAAATGTCAAAACAAGAATCTCCACAAAATTTGGGACATTTTGAAACCCATATTGCCATATTTCGGTCTTCTCCAATTTTCAGGTTCTTCTTCTTCTCCAGATTCCAAAGTTTCAAATTTTTTGAAACATGGGCAATATGGATATCAAAATGTCGCAAATTTTTTGGAGATTAAGACCTGATATTTGGAATTGCACGATTATCGATTTTTCTGGGTTACTGTACCTTTTCCTAACTTTCCCATAACAATTCACCAAGTCATAGACATGAGAAACATTGGATTTCTCAAAAATCACCGATGAGTCCAAATACCACAAACTACCGTAATCCCGGAGAACCTGAGCAATGACTATTGGCTTCCAGCGATAGGACTTGAGTTGGTTCATGGATGGCGGGAAATTTGAAAAATTGAAATTTCGAATTTCCAGATTACAGGAGTTCTGGAATTCCAAAATTTGGAATTTTGAAAAAAAATAGGGTGTGCTGTACCTCTTTTAACATTCTTAAATTATCTTCAGCAATTCCTAAATTGTATAAAATAATTTTCTGTCGATATCCCAATTTTCGAATTGAGGAAATCTGAAAATCTTCAATTTAGACGAAAAAAATTCTGGAAAATTCCTCACCAATCTCATTCCATTTCTCACAAATTGATTACTAAATGCTGTCACAAAAACTGAATCCGTGATTTTTTGTTTTTCCAAATTCAAGAATTTTGAGGAAGATTCTGAAGGAAAACACGACATTTGTGAGGAATTTCACGACGTTAGATGGATTTTTCTCAAAATTTTAACTGGAATTGATACCCATATTGACCTAGTTTGAAGGGAAACTGAAATCTAAATCAATGTAGACGTCAGGAATTCAGAATCCTGGGGTTTTTGGAATATGAGCAATATGGGTATCAAAATGACGGAAATTGAGAGGTGGACAAGGTTAACGATGGGAACTAGCGAAAAACAAAGATTTTGGAATTCTGAATTCTAAATTTCAGAAGACGTCGAAAATTCAGAATTTTTGTGTTCAAGATTTCACCGATTTTTCATTGTTAACTTTGTTTCCCATGAAGTTTCTGTCATTTTGATACCCATATTGCCATATTTTTGTAATTTTGAGAATTCTGAATTCAGAAGACGTCTTCTGAATTCAGAATCTTAGATTTCTTTCGATATGGGCAATGTGGATTTGAAAACAACGGAATTTCGACGAAGAACATTTTTAACAAAGAGAAATCACAAACTTTGAGAAATTCAAGATTCTAAAATTCAACGTCTTCTGAACCAGAAGACGTCGAAAATACAGAATTTTTGTGTTCAAGATTTTAGCGATATTCCATCGTTCACTTTACTTCTCAAAAAATGTCCGTCATTTTGATACCCATAATGCCTCTATTTATAAGATTTTCGAAATTCTGAATCCTCTGACGTCTCCTGGAATCAGAATACTAATTTTTTTGGAATATGGGCAATATGGGTATCAAAATGACGGCAATTACAAGGCAAACATTTTTGACGACATGAAATTTGACGAAATCTAAAATAAAAAGTTTTTCTCACCAATTTTCTCCCATTCCTCCACAAAGTCGCAGCTAAATCGTTTGCCAAGGATTTTCGGATTCTAGAAAAAAAAAATTCAATTCTAGAACATTCTATTTCAGTTTACTTCTGGCAATTTATAGCAAAAATTGTAGATCTTTCCGGTTACTGTAGATTTGCATTGACATTTTTCGGGAATAATTGGCTCCGAAGAATTGTTGGAATCTTCAGAATCGTCAGATGGCGTCATTGAAAATTGAGGATTCTGATTTTTTCAGAAGACGTTAAGAGTTCAAAAAACCACATTTTTACCCAAAAATTGTCGTCTTTTTCCTCAAAATTGTGTCGTCGGAAAATTGGACTTTTTAGGAATTGAACAAAAAGGAAAAGGGTCCCAAATACATAGACAATTAGAAGTAGAACATGATTAGCATGAGGTCGCATCTGGAGGAGACTCTGGAAAATTCTGAAAAAAAGAAAAATAAGATCAAAAAAAGAATCTCCATGAAATTTGGGGCATTTTGATACCCATATTACCCAGGTTCCGAAAATTTCGAAAATTGGAAATTCGGAGAAGAAGAAGAAGAGCCTGAAATTCGGAGAAGACCAAAATAGGGCAATATTTGTATCAAAATGTCGGAAACCATGTGGAAAATACGAATCACACAACTTTAGGTTCGGAAAATGCTCCAGAATCCAAAAAATCTCTTCTCCAGAAACATCAGAAGACGTCAAAATTTCAAAACTTTAGAATCATGGCAATATGGGTATCAAAATATCAGAAATTTCGTGGACAACACAAACATTTTGTTTCCAAGACTTAAAAATGTTTCGAATTTCCAAAAATCTCTTCACCAGATTTCAAATCAGAAGGCGTGAAATTGGTCATTCGCTTAGTGTGGAGACATAGAATCAAAAGAATAATCTCCATAGAATTTGGGACATTTTGATACCCATCTTGCTCATATTCGGAAAATTTCGAAATTTTGGAATTCGGAGAAGAAGAAGAACAAGAAGTTCGGAGAAGACCAAAATAGGACAAAATGGGTATCAACATGTTCCAAATTTTGTGGAGATTCTTATTTTCGTACTGATTTTCTTTTTTTCTCAAAACTTTCTTCAGAATCTGGAGAAGAAAAAAATTTTTGAAAAAAATTTCCTTCCTCTTCTCCATATTTTGGTTCAAGAAGAAATAGAAGAAGATGAAAATGATCATGGTGGCCTTTAAGGATATACAAGAATGTTCCGGAAAAAACAAAAAAAAAGTAATTTCAATATCTTTAATATCACGAGACTCTCTAATCCTTACATCTCTTCTTCTTCTCCAGATTCAATATGAAAAAAAAAGAAAAAAAAAAGACTTTTTTAATTTAAAAAAAAGGAGGAAACCTTAAAACTATTCTTTGCTTCTAAAAAAGCCTTAAAAAATGACTAGAAAAGTGCATCTTAGTGAAATTCGGAAAAGGAAAAAGAAGAAGAAGAAGGAGGATAAGAAGCAGAAAAAGGTTTCGCCTTCTCAAAAATTTTATTTATACACAAATTCCCATAACACACGGTTGCCCCGGCAACCGCTTGACCACTCGGAGCAATTGACCAATTTCACGTCTTCTGATTTGAAATCTGGAGAAGAGATTTTTTTGGAAAATTGCAATTTTTTAGACTTGAAAATAGAATATTCTTATTCTCCTGGAAGTTTCCAACAATTTGATACCCATATTGCCATGATTCTAAAATTTTGAATTTTTGACGTCTTCTGATGTGAAATCTGAAGAAGAGAATTTTCAGAATCTCAGAATTTTAGAAAGAGGGAAAATGTGTTTTTTGTGTTGTCCATTCATTTCCCAACAATTTGATACCCATATTGGCATGATTCTGAATTTTTGAATTTTTGACACCCTCTATGGTGAAATCTGGAGAAGAGAATTTCCAGAATAAAGGCTATTTTTTAGACTTGAAAATAGAATATTCTTATTGTCCCGGAAATTTCCTACAATTTGATACCCATATTGCCATGATTCTAAAATTTTGAAGTTTTGACGTCTTCTAGGGTGAAATCTGGAGAAGAGATTTTTTTTGAAAATTGCAATTTTTTAGACTTGAAAATAGAATATTCTTATTCTCCTGGAAATTTCCAACAATTTGATACCCATATTGCCATGATTCTGAATTTCTGAATTTTTGACACCCTCTATGGTGAAATCTGGAGAAGAGAATTTCCAGAATCTCAAGATTCTAGATAACCAGAAAATATGATTTCTGCGTTTCCCAGGACATTTCCAACATTTTGATACCCAGATTGCCATGATTCTAAAATTTTGAAGTTTTGACGTCTTCTAGGGTGAAATCTGGAGAAGAGAACTTTCAGAATCTCAAAATTCTAAATTACCAGAAAATGTGTTTTCCGTGTTTCCCAGGATATTTTCGACATTTCGATATCCATATTGTCCATCTTTGGTCTTCTCCAAATTTCAGTTTCTTCTTCTTCTCCAGAATCCAAAAAATCTTAAAATTTTTGAAACATGGGCAATATGGGTATCAAAATGTTGGAAATTAAATGGAGATTCTAGTTATAACAAGGAAAAATTTCGTAAATAATTTAATAAGAAAAAAATTCAAAATTGTCAAAAAAATAAAAGATCACAGATAAATTAAAGAAACAATAAATTAGAAACCCGTCGTTTAAATTAAAGTGTCAGAAAATTTAAAATTTAGATCCTTGCCATTTTTCTCCTCAATCTAGCCAGTTTTTCGATTCGATTTTGGGATTTTCTGGAATAATTTTTAAAAATTTTTTAAAAATTTTTTCAAAATTTTGACCTCTTTTTAGCTCTCCGGTTCACTTCTCGAATTCCCAAACAATCCTGAATAGAGAAGAAATCCACAATAGTCGCATTTTCATCAAAAAACGACGCTGGATCTTCCAAATTCGTGGAGTCATTTAGAATACAATTTAGTGTGGATTCCTGGAACAAATAGGCTACAGTAACCCAATAACCTACAGTAACCCTAATACCTTTGCATAAAACATCACACTCACACATCCAATTGTATGTTTTTCAATACACAAATCGAGACATTCGGCGGCGGATCCAACGGAATGAGCGTCTACTAAATGACCAATTAGCACTTTTTGACGGTGTCGAATTGGCTGCCCTCCCGAACATTTGTTAGCGGAGGACTCTGAAATTATCATATTTGAAATTGTTGGGTTGAGAGCTTTGAAATGAGCCCAAACACGACCTATTTGGAACAATTTTAAAATTTCGACTTTAAAGGCGCATGGACCTTCGAAAAATCGAAAATTCCAAAAGTAGGTCATGGTTATATTCATTTTGAAGCTCAAAACAAGGCAAATCCAAAACTCGAAAAATATTGAAATTACGACGAAAATTGATCGAGATACGGTAGTTTCAAAGAACAAAAATCACCGAAATTGATGTTTAGCTTCAATTTGAGGTTTTCAATGCCAAATTTCATAAATTTTCGATTTTTACGCAATGAGAGCTTTGAAATGAGCCTAAACACGACCTATTTTGAGCTTTTTTGAAAATCGACTTTAAAGGCGCATGGACCATCGAAAAACCGAAAATTTTGAAAGTAGGTCATGATTATATTCATTTTGAAGCACTCCGTGTGCAAAGTTCAAAATTTTAAAAATTGTTAAACATGGATCAAAACTGACCGAGATGCGGTAGTTTGAAACCTACAGTATACCAACTTACGCCGAATACAAATCTTCTCATAACTGTTCACCGGATTCCTTGGCCTTGGTGTCATTGCCATATCATCATTAGGTATATTCCCCATCAAATAACAAAATCCACGTGTCTTATCGTATTCTAAAGCTGAGCAATCCGAAGCTCCGCCCCCTGGACGGGAATTTGTGAGGCAGGCGAAGACACAGTCGTCTTCAGTGATTTCCACGTATTTGGAATTTGAATTGGAAGCTTCTACGTCATCAGATCTTACGAAAATGACATCTTGGCCAGTTGGACATTTGGCTGAAAATTGAATTTTTCAGAATATTCATTTAATGGCGTTTCTTCAAAAAATTCAATTTATTAATCCCATTCTTATAAGTTTTTTCCACAAAATGGGACATTTTTGACCAAAATCCAAAAAAAAACCCGCAAGAAAGACCTTCCGGATCATCTAAACATCATTAAAAAGGTCTACAAAAAAGCAAAAAAGAACTAGGGGGCACCCGGAGTTGAACCGGGGACCTCTCGATCTGCAGTCGAATGCTCTGCCACTGAGCTATACCCCCACACATTGAGGAGCGGGGTGGACGGCGTATAAGAACGGCGAGGCGCCTACTCACCGCGTTGAGAGAAGAGGAGGGTGGTGGAGGAGGAGGAGAGTGTGTTGGATGGGGAGGCCGGAGAGATGATGTCCTTTTCGACGAGACGCAGGAATGGAGGGGCACTGGAAGATGGAAAAATGATTAGTAAAAGATAATAATAGAGGGATATTCGAAAAAAAAAAATAGATGGAAATCGGTTGAAAATGAAGCATATAGCAGTATTTTCTAGTTTTGGCTGAAAATGGCTGAAAATCTAAGACACCTTTAGTAGAAATTTAGAATTTTCAGTGAAATACAAATTTTAAGTTCATAAGACAAGAAAAATGCAAAAAATCCAACAAGAAAATCTCGATTTTAAGCCTAACTACGCCCAATTTAGTTATGATCCTGTTTTTGGCTGAAAACTGCTTATTTTTGGCTGAAAATTGGCTGAAACTTCTAAAGATAAACATTTTATGTTGGAATTAAGAGAAAATCAACTTGAAAACCTGGAAAATGCAAAAAACTAGACGAAAATCGGTTTATTTTGAGCCAAACTAGATGAGGCGGAGCTAAAACTACAGTAATCCTGGACTTTCAGACCCTGGATCTAGTTGACAAGTACAGTAATCTTTTACCAAAAATATATTATATAATTTCAGATTTGATTTTACTCTATTTTCCGGAAAAAATTTCTTTTTTTCTGAAAATTCTTCTTCTTCTTCTTCTTCTTCTTCTTCTTCTTCTTCTTCTTCTTCTTCTTCTTGTTACCCCAAAATGGGTTAGGAGGAAGAAAAAAAGAAGTTTGACAATTAAAAAAAGAAGAAATCCTTTTGAAGTGTATAAATTCCTTGGAAAATTTCTTTTTTTCCTCCAAAATTCTCTTTTTCTGGGCCCGAAATCCTACCTTTCCTCTTCTTCTTCTTCTATTCCAAACTCTTCCCTTGAAACAAACATTCTAACACATCTCAGAGTACTTTTTGACAGTTTTCTATGTAAACTAGATCCTTGACTTCTGAAGACGTGCGACGCCAGATTCTGAAATTGTCCATACATTGCACATGTGGCAAGTGGTGTGCTGTAAGTGGCGGCATAGCAGGTGGGGGACCTAAAAAAAGACTTTTGATTAAAGATTTGAATTTGGCGAGTTGAGAGCTTCAAAATGAGTATAAACACGACATATATTGCATAAGTTTCAAATTTGACTTTAAAGGCGCATGGACCCCAAAAATCGAAAAATTTTAAAGCACGTCATGATTATACTCATTTTGAAGCTCTTCACGCGGGAAATACAGCAAAATCAAAAAGTTTTGAGTTTAGCCAAAATTTGACCTAGGATTACTGTACCTTGCACACTTGGTCAGACACTCTAATTTGGAAAAATTATCATCAGTTTCCAATGGAGAAATTTTCGTAATCCCTGTATTCTTTTTGGTATTATAACACACAGATTCGACGTCTTCCTGAAAATTTGAAATTTTGAGGGTTCTGGAAATGTGAAAATATGAAAAATAAAAGTTTCCAGAATATTCCAGATTCTTACCGTAGTTTTTTGAAGTTTCTGATCGATGAACATATTTTTTCCGGTTTTCACATTTGTTGTCACACCGGCAAGCACTTTTCGAAGACGTGGGGAAGAGGGATTGATGTCTAGAAAAATTGTTTCTCAAATTTTTAAGAAAGGAAGAAAAAGATAAAGATGGTTAAAAGAAGAAAAATCATGAAATTTGGGACATTTTGATACCCATATTGCCCATGTTTTGATAACTTTGGATTTTGAGATTCGGAGAAGAAGAAGAACTCAAAATCTGAAGATGACTAAACATGGGCAATATGGGTATCAAAATGTTGGGGATAATGTGGAAAACTCAAATAACACAATTTCTGGTTTTCTAAAATTACGAGATTCTGAAAATTCTCTTCTCTTCTCCAGATTTCACATCGGAAGACGTCAACATTTCAAAATTTCAGAGTCATGGCAATATAGGTATCAAAATGTCAGGATTTTACTGGAGAACTCGAGTTTTGCTATATCGAAGTTTAAAAATGCTCCAGAATCCAGAGAATCTCTTCTCCAGATTTCATACCAGAAGACGTCAAATTTTCAAAACTTTAAAACATGGGCATTGTGGGTATCAAAATTTGTAAAAAAAAATACCATTCTCCTCACAAAATCCTCTTCTTTTTCTCACTGTATTGAGTTCAGACGTCTTCTGAATTCAGAAGACGTCGAATTTTCAAAAAATTTGAAAGCATGGCAATATGGGTATCAAATTGTTGGAAATTGAATGGACAACACGAAAAACACAATTTCCCGTTTTTTAAGTCATCGAGATTCTGAAAATTCTCTTCTCCAGATCTTGCATCAGAAGACGTCGAAATTTCAAACTTTCAGAATCATGCCAATCGGGAATTTTGTAGAAATTATTTTTTCAAAGTTTATTTCATTTGAATCTTGAATTCTGGAGATTTCTGAATTCCAAAATTTTTGAAAACATGGCAATATGGGGCTCAAAATGACGGGAATAAGCCGAAAAATAGATCTAACGTCACCAAACTTTCTGAAAATCAAAATTCGAAGACTTACGATGAAATTCATCATCTGAAAGCACAATTCTCGACGCCACCGCCCTTCTTTTATCCGATTTTCGTCTTGGCTCATCGATGCGATCATCAAAAATCGCCCCAGGGAATCTCATAAGGTCGTGTCCGTATAAATTTTTGTTGTAAAGGTTTACGGTAGTCTGGAATTTCGAAAATTTCTAAAAAAAAATCTGAATTCTACAGTACTTTCTTCCCTCTATAAGTGGTCTCTCGTGCCTCATATTTTCTTCCATTTTTATCAATTTCAATTGATAATTTCTCTTCTTCTGGCACCTCATCATTCCTTCTTCTTTCCTGGTCCTTGAGCATCATAGTCTGAAAAAATTTCAAAATTTCAGAATTCTGAAATTCTGGAAATCCACCTCTAAGCCCTTCAAAGGATCCTCATCTTCCAAAATTTGAGTTTTCGCCGCATGCATCTTTGTCATTTTTCTCATTTCTCGCTCCACGGCAAATGGATCCTTAAATTTTTTTTCAAAGCTTTCTACAGTAATCCTTACAGTACCACTTCCTCTGCCCCCCTCTCTTGTATTGTGTCTTCTATTTGTTCTGGAACAACGTTTTCATAGTGCTCCCCATCGATACGATTATCCACGTAGTACTTGGTAGCGGAGACACTGTAGCGACCTGGAAATTTTGGAATATGGAGAAGAGATTTTTCAGAATTACAGATAATTTTAAAATCTGAAAACACTTGAACCTTATTCAGATCGTCAACAGCTTTAATTTGATACCCATATTGCCATGTTTTTGAGTTTTTTGATTTTTGGGATTCAGAACCTGGAGACGGAGAAGAACTTTTTCAGGTTCAAACAAAATTTCAGGGGTTGAAACTATTCGGATCTTGTTAAGCTTGTTAAGAGCTTCAATTTGATACCCATATTGTCATATTTTGAAAAATTTTTAAAATTTGGGATTCAGAATCTGGAGAAGAAGAAGAAACTGAAAATCGGAGAAGACAATTTTGACCTTCTTTTTGATCCGAACTAGAATACATGATTCGAATTTTGTTTTCCGCTGCATTTCTGACATTTTGATACCCATTTCATCAAAATTGCACACTTTTTGAGTTCAGACGTCTTCTGAATTCAGAAGACGTCGAATTTTGAAAATTTTGGAAGCATGGCAATATGGGTATCAAATCGTTAAAAATTTTATGGAGGATTCGGATTTCACAATTCCAGAATTCCAAAATGCTATAGAATCCAAAAAATCTCTTCTCCAGATTCCACCCTAGTAGACGTCCAAACTTGAAGAATTTAGAATAATGCCAATATGGGTATCAAATCGTCAGAAATCTCATGGAAAACTTGAATATCTCAAATTCGGCATTCAAAAATGCTCTGGAATCCCAAAAATCTCTTCTTCAGATTTCAAAACTCACCATTGAACTGTGTAACCTCGTTCTCATCCTTCCTCTTCTCCAGATTTCTCTGATTTTGATGATTTTCAATGAACTCGTCAGGAAGCTCCTGTAGCTGAACTAAACTGGTCCCTTGGAATGAAGACGTTGGCATCTTAGAAGTCGTCAAGTCTCCAGAAGACGTCGAGATGTCTTCTACATCATTGTCCTCTACCAATTCTTCAGGTTCCATGAAAAATCGTTCCTCGTCTTCAGAAGTCGTTTGGGATAAGATTATCGGTGTGGATTCTGGGAATTCTGAGAGTTCAGAAGACGTCACGTCTTCTAGAATTGGGAAAGAAGAGGAAGATTGCATATTAGTGGTGGAGGACACAAAAGAAGACGTGGAGGCTTTGGGAAAGGCAATGAAATATGGAGAAGAAGAAGAAAAAGAAGGAGAAGAACTCCTGGAGAATTCAGGTAACGTCACTTCTGCAGTTGAAGACGCTAGCGTTGAAGACATCCCAATTGGAGTATCAAATAGTGATTGGCTAGCAGAAAATGGAGAAGAAGAAGAGGATTCTTCAGATTCCAACGTCTTCTGAAGGTCCACGTCATCCGAAGTGGTACGGTAGTCCAGATCCTCAACCTCTGGATCTGCCGAATCAAAAAGTGACGCATTCATTTGCTTGTACCTCTCATCAAAGTTGTTGGATACGGTTTCCCGGGTAGAGGAACGTTTGGAGCTCTGAAAACTCTGAATTTCGAATCTAATAATATTTTTCTAATGTGCATCTTTTTTCCCATAAAATTTCCTGAATTTTGATACACATATTGCCCATGTTCTAAAAAATTTGAATTTTGGGGTTATGGATTCTGGAGAAGAAGAAGAGAAATTTCGAAACTTTTGAAAGATGGGCAATATGGATACCAAAATATTGGAAATTGATTGGACTTCTTTTTTATTCGAAAAAAATTTAGATGAATGCAGTTTGAATCCTGACTTTTTTTTTCCAGAATTAGGAAAATACATCAAAATCTGGAGAAGGAAATTTTGAGCTTCTAACATATTTAGATGTCTTAGATTATCAAAAACATGATTTTCCAACTTGTTTCCAACATTTTGATTCCCATATTGCTAGAATTTTCTGAGTTTCAGGTATTGACGTCTTCTGAATACCAGAAGACGTCAAAATTCAAATTTTTGAAACATGGGCATTATGGGTATCAAAATGTTGGAAATTTTATAGAAAACACTGATAACAAAATTTCAAGTCTTCAAAGTGTTTTCGAAGTCAGAAAATCTCTTTTCCAGATTTTACATCAGAAGACGTCAAAATTCAAGATTTCAGAGTCATGGCGATACGGGTATCAAAATGTCAGGATTTTTCTGGAGAGCTCGAATATTGCTATTTCAAAGTTTAAAAATGCTCCAGAACCCAGAAAATCTCTTCTCCAGATTTTACATCAAAAGACGTCAAAATTCGAAATTCCAGCACCATGGCAATATGGGTATCAAAATTTGTCATTTTTCAAGCTTGTTCTTACCAATCTCCTTACAAAATCCTCTTCTTCTTCTTCTTGGTCATCTGGCGTGGACGGTAATGGAATTGTGGAGTTTTCTGAATATTCTTGGAACATTGACATTTTGGCCAGAAGCGGATTCTGAGCAATCATGTCGGTTAGATTTTGAGCCCAACATGGGCTTAGAAAGAAGAATAGATAGGGGAGAAGCATAGGAATCTGAAAATTCTCTTTTTTTCTTGAATACGGAAAGGAGAAAGAAAACGGGAATTTAAAAAATCTGAAAGTTAATGAAAAAGAAGAAAAAGTTGAAAAAAAGAAAATCCACAAAATTTGGAGCCGTTTGATACCCATATCGCTCATCTTTCATTTACTTCAAAGTTTTGGGTCTTCTTCTTCTCCAGAATCCCGAAATTTCAAAATTTTTGAATCTTGACGATATGGGTATCAAATTGATGGAAATTTTGTGGACAACACGAAAAACATAGTTCCAGATTCTGAAAATGCTCCAGAATCCTAAAATTCTCTTCTCCAGATTTCACCCTAGAAGACGTTAAAACTTAAAAACTTCAGAATCATGGCAATATGGGTATCAAAATGTTGGAAATAAAGTGAAGATTTTTAACATGTTCATTATTTCTCTTAAATCGTAGGAAAAAAGTTGAAAATTCCAAATTCGGAGAAGAAACTAAACATCGGAGAAGACCATTTTGAGCTTCTTTTTGGTCCGAACTAGAATATTTGACTTGAATTTCGCTTTCCACAGAAATGCTAACATTTTGATACCCATTTCATGAAAATTGAACATCTTTTGAGTTCTGACGACTTCCGAAATCCAGAAGACGTCAAAATTTCAAATATTTTGAAACATTGGCATTATGGGTATCAAATTATTGGAAATGTTGTGGACAACACAAAAAACATGCTTTCAGAATCTGAAAATGCTCCATAATCCTAAAAATCTCTTCTCCAGATTTTACCCTAGAAGACGTCAAAACTTCAAAATCTCAGAATCATGGCAATATGGGTATCAAAATGTTGGAAATCTTGTGGAACACACAAAAAACACAATATCAGGTTCTGGAAATGTATTAGAAACCAAAAAATTTCTTCTCCAGATTTCACATCAAAAGACGTCCAAATTTCAAAATTTTAGAATCATGGCAATATGGGTATCAAATTGTTAGAAATGTTGTGGAATACACGAAAAACATATGTTCCGGTTCTCAACGTTTTCGAGAATCCGGAGAAGCTCTTCTCCAGTTTTCAAAATTTTCTTAAATTCGGAGAAGAGATTTTTTGCTCGAAAACAGAAGTAAAAGAAGAAGAATTAAAACACAGGAAGAGTGTGAAAGTGAACACAAGGCGAGTACAGTACAAAGTAATTTTCTCTTCTTCTTCTTCTTTTTCTTCTCCAGAGAAAAGTTGAGAAAGTTCGTGAAAGTGACCGGAAGAAGCGTCACTGTCAAGAAATCGAAATTATTCCCCCTCCAGCCTTCTTCTTCTTCTTCTTTTTCTTCTTCTTATGTGCCGACGGACACATTCATAACAATGGAACTATAGGGAAAAGAAGAACGCTATGTGGATTTAATTGAGCGATGGACGAAGAAGAAAAAGTGGGCGGAGCTTCGGGGGATGACACCTTCAGGAGTCGTCTTGAACATTATGAAGTATGTATGTATGTGTCTGAACATGTGAAAAAAAAGTGAAAACTCTTGATTGGTTTTGTTTGGGGGGGGGGGCGTTCAAGAGGTCAAATCTGGAGAAGAGATTTTTTAGAATCTGAAGGGCTTTGAAATATTTTTTTTGGTAAAAAGAAGAACCTCCAAAGAATTTCTGACATTTTGATACCCATATTGCCATTCGGAAATTTTGAAATTTTGACGTCTTCTGGTGTGAAACCTGGAGAAGAGTTTATTTGGTTTCTGGAGCACTATTGATCTTTGAAATTATCATAATCAAATTTTCCACAAAATTCCTGAGAATTTGATACCCATATTGCCATGATTCTGAAATTTCGAAATTTTGACGTCTTCTAGGGTGAAATCTGGAGAAGAGATTTTCAGCCTTCCCACTTATTTTTGACTTAGGAAACTGGACCAAAAGTCTTTTCCACTGAATTTGGGACATTTTGATACCCATATTGTCATGATTCTAAAATTTTGAAATGTTGACGTCTTCTGGATTCAGAAGTTGTCGAATCTCAAAAATTGCGCAATTTTTATGTAATTAGTATCAAAAAATCAGAAATTCGGTGGAAAACATGATTCGACTCAAATATTCTAGTTCGGACAAAAAAAGAAGCTCAAAATTCCAACTATTTTTGACTTTGAAAACTAGACCAAAAGTCTTTTTCACTAAATTTGGGACATTTTGACACCCATATTGCTTAGGTTTTTGAAAAAAAATTGGTTTTTTAGTTCTGGAGAAGAGGAAGAGTCAAAATTGGAGAAGACCCGAAATTTTCCAAAATCCTTTATAATTAGACTAACTAGACTAGCGAAATTCCCCACAAAATTTTGGGTCATTTTGATGCTAATATTGATCTATTTCTGGTCTTCTCTAGATTCTGAATCCCTTCCTCTTCTCCAGATTCCAAAAAGCAAAATTTTTCAAATATGGACAATATGGGTATCAAAAAGAAGGAATTTTGTGGAGAAGAAAACTAGCTTAACAGCAAAGTTTGAAAATCACGGATTCAGAATTTAGAAGACGTTGAAATTTCGGAGAAAAATTTTTGGAAAAAGAAGAAGAAGAAGAAGAAGAACTATTATAGGGAAAGAAGAAGACAAAGTTCGAAAAGCCTTAAGCCACAGCTAAAAGGAATCCAGGTTAATCGGGAGAAAGGTGCCTGCCAAAGCGGATTATCCCTTACTTTCTTCTTCTTCTTCTCCGAACTTTATGAACAATGCCGGATTGTCTTCTTCTTCTTCTTATCCGGTAGAAGAGGGTGTTGTATCCGTTATACTGGTAACCAGAAATTTCCATTATCCCGAAACTTTTAATCAACTTTTTCTTTCTTCTTTTTAATTTAATCCGGGAATATGGAAAAGAAGAAGAAGAAGAAGAAAAAGGACAAAAAACAAAAGTAAGAATCTTCACAAAATTCCTGACATTTTGATACCCATATTGTCATGGTTCTAAAAATTTGAAATTTTGGAATTTTGAAATCTGGAGAAGAGATTTTCAGGATTCTGGGGCATTTTCAGAGCTGAAAACTGTGTTTTTCGTGTTTTCCACAAAATTTCCGACATTTTGAAACCCATATTGTCATGATTCTGAAATTTTGAAAATTCGGAATTTTGAAATCTGGAGAAGAGATTTCCAGGATTCTGGTGCATTTTCAGAGCTTCGAACTTTGTTTTTCAGATTGTCCACAAAATTTCCGACATTTTGATCACCATATTGTCATGATTCTGAAATTTTGAAAATTTGACGTCTTCTGGATTCAGAATTCAAATACTTTGAAACTCTGCCGATATGGGTATTAAAATGTTGGGAATCTTATAGAAAACACTAATAAAAACTTTCAGGTTTTTGGAAGGCTTTGGAATCCCAAAAAGTTCTTCTCCGATTTCCACTTCAGAAGACGTCAAATTTTCAAAATTTTAGAATCATGGCAATATGGGTATCAAAATGTCAGAAATTTAGTGGAAATTCTTCTTTCAACCAATTCATCCTTCTTTTCTCCAGAAAAAAACCAAGAAAAAGCTCTTATCCATATTTTCAAATCCTTCTCCAGCATCCAAAATCCAAATTTTTGAAAAGATGGGCAATATGGGTATCAAAATTTCAGGAATGACTTGGACATTCTTTTTTTGCTAGAAATAACTTTTGAAAATCAATATTAAGCTGAGCAATCCACTTTTTTCCGATTATCTTCATTTTCATCCGGTAAAATAGAGAAATCACATACAATTCTTCTGAAAGACATTGAAAAACAAATTTTTTACATATTTTCTCTATAAAAATAGCAAAAAAACCACCGAAATACCTACAAAAACCTTAAAATCGTCCGAAGCTCGTCTAAAACCCGAAACCTAGCAAAAATTCAAAATTTAAACCTCGCGCCGGAAAACCGGGTGTGCGGCGGAGCGCGCTTGCTTCATCCAACAAATAAACAGGTTCCATTTTTTCTCACATTTATCATCGAATTTCGACACTTCCTGGTCGGAATTTTTCCGTTTTTTGAGGTTTTATAGGTTGAAAATTAATTTTAAACGCCTTAAAAACCATAAAAATCGCCAAAACCCGCTGAAAATCCCAGAAAACTGAGGTTTTCATGGGTAATACAGATTTTTGAAAAAATAATGATTTCCGGGTCAAAAATCCTGTTTCCAGGGGTGAAAAAAGCTGAAAATCACGATAAAAGCAGTCCAGAATGCTGAAAATCCCTATTTTTCGCTCAGAAAATCGATTTTTTTTCTTTTATTTGAAAATTTTCAGCCAAATTTTCAATTTTCAGCCGAAAAAATGGAGGCTCTTCCCACACTGCCTTTGATGGCACCACAGTTTCGAACATCCACACTTTCCTATGATAATATTCCGAATTTCGATTTCAAATTGCGCATGAAAGAGGTAATTTCATAAAAATTGCTGAAAATCATCAAAAATTGCCTAAAAACGCTTAAAAAAGCTGAAAATATGGGTTTTAGAGCCAAAAAACCGCTATAAACTGCAGTATTCTAGTCTAAAACCGCTAATTTTAGTCGAAAAATGGTAAAAATGATCCAAAACTGATTTTTGAGCTTATAATTCAATTTTTGCCTGGAATAGCACATTCTAGGTCATTTTTAAGCTTTAAAATCAAATTTTGAGCATTAAAACGCTGAAAAATGATTTTGAAAGCAGAAATTTGGCCTAAAATGACTTTTCCAAGCCCAAATTTCGCTCCAAAAATCGATTTTTTTTGGATTTTAAGCTGAGCAATCGGCCGAATTTTGCAGTATATCCTGCTCACTTTCAACGCGGATCCTCATGAGTACGACTCCGCGTTCGAAGAGCTGACTCAAATGAAATTCGAGGCCACTATCCCCGATGCGTCGCCAGAACAAGCACAGAAACTCAAAAAGTACTATAGTCAGTTGTGTATGATGCAGAAGAGGTTCCCAATGGGTGCTGGAGAGATCATGGAAACCCCGTTTGCATGGTAAGGGCTGGAAATAGGCTAAAAATCTGTCAAAAATTACTGAAATAGCTAGAAATGGCGAAAAAAGGCGTGAAAATCAGTATTGATGCACTGAAAAAGGCTTAAAACAAAATGCCCAATTTCTTCTTCCTTTGATGATTTTCATCAGTTTTTAGTCATTTTAGGCTCAATTGGCTCATTTTTGACCCATTTTCAGTAGATTTTCAGCGATTTTAAGCCAAAAATGTCCCCAAAACGCTCAATTTCTTTGATTTTCAGGCACGATGGTCTGATCGATATGAGAAGTGCGCATAGCGAGGTCCAAATCTGTGATATTGAATTCGAGAAAGCGTCGGTGATGTTCAACATCGGCACGTGTCATGCCCAAGTCGCAGCCAAGGAGATGAGAGAGACGCAGGAGGTTAGATCCACTTGGATTACTGTATTGCTCAGCCTTGAAAAATCTCATTTTTAGGAGGTTTTTCAGCTTCAAATCGCTGTTTTTTTCCATCAAATTGACGAATTTCCAGCTATAAAGAAGTGATTTTGAGCAAGAAAATCGAGAATTTACAGTAAAAAAGAGCTAAAAATCAGTTTTCAGACAAAAAAAGAGAAGATTGCTCAGCTGCAAAATGTCATTTTTAGAAGATTTCCAGCTGAAAATAGCTTTTTTGGGTTGAAAAATCGATTAAAAAACCCCAGAAATTGGGATACAGTACCCCTGAAATCGTTATATATTCGATTTTCTACAGTAATCCCTAGCTTTCAGAGTTTCTGGTTACTGTAGGCACCAACTGTGCCATGATTTGGGTATTAAAATTCGCGATTTTCAAGCTGAAAATCGCTTTTTTCGACCTAAAAACCTTAAAATTGACCAATTTTCAGCTGAAAATGGCTGAAAATTTGATAAAAACCCCCTAAAATTCGATTTCCAGAGCATCAAAACCGCGTTCTCGCATCTCCAACAAGCCACTCTGGCGTTCGAACAGCTCAACACCTTCAGAAATTCGGACTTCTTCTATCCATCGGTGGATTTGGACGCCAACGTCATCTCATTCTACTATAAAGTGCTTTTGGTAAGAGAACATGGTCCGAAAAGGCGGAAAATTGGCTAAAAATTGACTTTTCAGACGCTAAGAAGCTGAAAATTAGCTAAAAATTGCCATTTTCAGGGCAAAAATCACTGAAAATCGCTGAAAATCGGCTGTTTCAGACTCAAAAAAGATGAAAATTAACTGAAAATCGACTATTTTGACCTCAAAAACCTCCAAAAATACCTGGAAATCGACTTTTTCAAGCCAAAAATCGCTGAAAATTAGCTGAAAATCGACATTTTTAGGCCTTAAATGGCTGAAATTCAGCTTTAAATCGCTAAAAATCTACTTTTTCGGGTTCCAAAACTTCTAGATATCGCTCAAAAACGACTTCATAGGTCCAAAAAGCGCCAAAAAATCGCTGAAAATCGACTTTTTTTAGGTTCGAATAAGCTGAAAATTAGCTAAAAATCGATATTTTAAGCCCGAAACTCGCTAAAAATCGAATAATTTTGCCTCAAGAACCGCAAAAAAATCGCTGAAAATCGCTAAAAATCGACTTTTTCGGGTTCAAGAAACTCCAAAAATTGCTGAAAATCGACTTTTTAGGTCCCAAAATGCTTAAAAAATTGACTTTTGTAGCTTCAAAATAGCTGAAAATCCGCTAAAAATCGCTGAAAATCGTTGAAAATCGACTTTTTCGGTCTAAAAAAGCTGGAAATCTAGCTAAAAATTGCCATTTTTAAGTCGAAAATCGCCAAAAATCGCTAAAAATCGATTTTTTTAGGCTAAAAACAGCTGAAAATTAGCAAAAAATGCAATTTTTTAAGCCTTAAATCTCCAAAAATCGCTGAAAATCGACATTTTAGGTCCCAAAATGCTTAAAAAATTGACTTTTGTAGCTTCAAAATAGCTGAAAATCCGCTAAAAATCGCTGAAAATCGTTGAAAATCGACTTTTTCGGTCCAAAAAAACTTTTTCGGTCCAAAAAAACACATTTTTTTAGGCTAAAAATCGCTGAAAATTAGCAAAAAATGCAATTTTTTAAGCCTTAAATCTCCAAAAATCGCTGAAAATGTCCGATATTTTCAGGCGCAATGTCAAGAATGTCTCGTGCAGAAGTCACTTTTGGAGAATCGCAGTCCAATTCTGATCGCGAAGCTCTGTTTGTGGATTCAGGAGGCGTACGATTCGGCGACGAAGATTGTCGACGATTGGAGCATCAATATTCCGGAGTCTGTGCAACGGGTAAGGGTTTGGGGGGGGGCTGGAAATGGGGGAAAATGGATGAAAATCGCTTAAAATAGCATGAAATAGCGTCAAAATCGCCTCAAAACGGGATTTGCCTAAAAATGTCTGAAAACCGGCTAAATTCCCCAATCGGGGGCCTAACATTCCATTAAAATACCCTTAAAATGCTTTAAATTGCATTAAAGATGCCTAGAATTAGGTAAAACGGGTCCGAAATAGCGCTGAGAAGCCTAAAAGGGCCTAAAACAGCCTGAAATTTTTCTAAAATAGCCTAAATTAGGTCTGAAATAGCTCAAATTCAGTCTAAATTAGCTCTTAAATTACCGTTTTGCTGATTCTGGAGGAGCTATTTTCATGATTTTTAGCGCCATTTCAGCCATATTCAGGGGTATTTTAAGCGATTTTTGACTCATTTTTGATTGATTTCAGTGGATTTTCAGCCAAAATCATCCAAATTTATTGAGAAATTCAATTTAATCCTCATTTAAAATGTTACAGTACTACTCGAAACTGTGCCAAATGAAGTCGGATGTGTACGGTGTGATAGGCTACATGTCAATGGGCGATCACTCGGAAAAGGAGGACAAGAAGATGGGATGGCGACTACAGTACTACAACATTGCCAACAAGTACATGGAACAGTTGACACACAACTCGGCCAAGATGAGGGACCGCTATCCGGAGATGTTCGCCACTTACAGCTTCTTGTTTGACGTTATCAGTGCCAAGTGAGTCGTTTTTAAGCTGAAAATTGGCTGAAAATGGCTCAAAACTTGAATTTTTAGGCCAAAAATGGCCGAAAAACTCCAAACAAAAAAACCTGAAAATTAATTTTGAGCAGTTTTAAGCTCCTAAAAATGCATTTTCCAGCCATTTTGGACCGATTTTAGCTCATTTTTGCCCTTTTCAACATCAAAAACGGGTCCAAAATTAGTGAAAAATCCATTTTTCAGCACTGAAATGGCTGAAAATCCGCATAGAATCCGTCAATTTTGATTTGAATAATCCAATTTCCCACTAAAAAGTTGAATTTCAGGCCGATTTTGACCATTTTTAGCTCATTTTTCACCCGAAAAAATGAATTTTCCAGTCATTTTAGACCGATTTAGATCGATTCTAGCTCATTTTTAGCTCATTTTTCACCCCCAAAAATGTCCAATTTTCCTTCCAAAAGTGACATTTTCAGCTCATTTTGGACCGATTTTAGCTCATTTTCAGCCATTTTCAACATCAAAAACTCGCGAATTTCAGACAAAAGAACGCGGAAAAAGAGAACGACTTCATCTATCACGACCGAGTGCCCAAACAGGAGGACGCAATGGACACGGCCAGGAAAGACGGCGTTCGATGCATTGTGGACCTGAAAAAGGTGCAGTTTTTGGACGCGGCGGGGTACGGTATCGATTTGTTTGCGAAGCTTCTGCCGAGTCACGTACAAGACGCCCAGAAGAAGTATGCGGAGATGAAGGACGAGATTCTGAGGGAAATGAACGAGATCGTCAAGTCCTACGATGAACACTTGAATTATAACCTTCAGTTGGCCGATTTTGATCGATTGAGGTGCGTTTTCGGGTTCTGGAATGGAAAATTTGGCTTTAAACGTTCCAAAATAGTCTTAAAATGACCTAGGATAGCTAAAAATAGTCGCAAAATGACCGAAACTGGGCCTAAAAGGGCCTGAACTGGCTTAATATAGGCCTAGAATGCTTTGAAATATGCTGAAAATAGCTGAAAATGGGCTTAAAATGGCTAAAAAATCCTAAAGTAGGCTGGAAATGCTTCAAATTAGGCTGAAAATGAACGAAACTAGGCCTAAAATGCTTTAAAATGGCTGAAAATGTGCTTAAAATAACTGAAAATTGGCTTAAAATGGCTAGAAATGTCCCAAAATAGGCTTAAATAGTCTTAAAATATTCTCAAAATGACAGTAATTAGGCTGAAAATGACCTAAAATAGGCTGAAAATGACCTGAACTTGCCTAATGTAGGCCTAAAATAACCAAAAATGACATGAAATAGCCTGAAATTCCCCCTATAATCGACTACAAATCCTACATTTTCAGATTTATGCTGAGCAATGGCTATTTGAAATGAAATTTTGGCTTGAAGTGCCTAAAAATCGGCTGAAAATGAGCTTAAAATCCTTCAAAATAGACTGAAAATTGGCTGAAAATGACTTTAAATGTCCCAAAAATGGTCTTAAAATGACACAAAACGAGCTAAACTAGGCCTAAAGTGCCCCAAAATATGCTGAAAATAACCGAAACTAGGCCTAAACTGACCTGATCTAGGCCTAGAATGCTCTCAAATAGGCTAAAATTGACGTAAAAGGTCTCAAAATAGGCAGAGAATGCTTTAAAATGGCTTGAAATAGGCTTAATATGACCTAGAGTAGGCTATAAAAAACCGGAAATGGGCCTGAAATGGCATGAAATAGGCTTAAAATGGCCTAAAATCACCTAAAATATGTCTAAATGATCTAAAATAGGTTTAGGATGGCTTCAGATAAGCTTGAAATGACCTAAAATAGACCGAATATGGCTCGAAATTGGCTTAAAGTGACTGAAAATTGGCTAAAAATCCCCCCTAAAACCCCATCAATTTCGCTATTTCCAGATTTATGCTGAGCAATGGAAAGGACAAGGAGGCGTGGTTCGAGATTCCCGAGGACCTGATGCGTCGTAACGCCGACATGACGGCGTTTCCGGATTGTGTTCCGAATTTGATTGAGAAAATGAGAGAATCATCGGATACTGCGAGAGTAGCCGAAGCCAAGCTGATGACGTTGCTCTCCAAGCTCCGAGCCATTGATTTGCCGAGATTCAAGGTAAGCTCCGCCCCCTTTTTCGCTGAAGAATCAGAAGAATCGGTCCGAATTGAGCCGAAATAGGACGTTTTCCAGCTAAGCTCCGCCCCTTTTTTAACTGAAAAATTGCGAAAAAAACATCCGAAAAAATACGACAAAAATTGAGCCAAAATATGTCATTTTGAAGTGTCTAGCTGCTAGGCTCCGCCCCTTTTTGAATTTGAAAAATTGATGAAAATCGGTGAAGCTAAGCTCCGCCCCCTTCTTTTTTTCGAAAAATCCGGAAAAAACGGTCCAAATTGAGGCAAAAGTCAGGGTATACAAAGTTAAGCTCCGCCCCCTTTTTACACTGGTGAAGATTTCAAAAAATCGTCTAAAAACCCTGAAAAAAACGTAGATTGCTCATAGTTAACGGTTCGACACTACAGTAGTCCTTGAAAATCAATTTAGGGGCCATCATCATTTTCAGACGCATTTTCAGTCTAAAATGTGCTTCTGGAAGAGCCCTAAATAGCTGAAAATTGGGGTTAAAAATTATCTAAAATAGTCGGATTGCTCATTGATTCTAGCTACAGTACTCCGTGGCCTTTTTCGGATCATTTCGGAGCATTTTAAGGACTTTTGAAGTGACAGAGGACATTCGAAAAGTTGATAAATGTACTGAAAATCGCTGGAAATTGACTGAAATTGGCTGAAATTAGGCTCAAAATGCCTTGAAATGACTGAAACTGACTGAAAATTGGCTCAGGATGCTTAAAAATAGGCTGAAAATGACTGGAAATGGCCCGAAAAGTCTTAGAATATGCTTAAAATCCCTTAAAATGGCCTAGAACGCGCCTAAAATCCCCCTAAAACCGAATTTCCAGGCCGACGAGGGCTTCAATTTGATCCAAAAAGAGCTGGAGCGGCTCGCCGAGCACTTGGAGCAAGCCAAAGCCAACAACGTATCGCTGAACAAGGCGATTGCTCAGCACTCGGCTAATCTACAGATTCTGACGCTTCCGTGTGTGGAGATGTGGCAGAAAATCGTGCCGGACGATGATGAGACTGGGAAAAGTAGGGTTTTTGAGCTGAAAATCGGCTGAAAATCAGCGGAAAATGTCATTTTAAGCCACTTTTTTTTTGGCCTAAAATCACGATTTCTCGGCTGAAAATCACAGATTTTGACCCCTAAATCTCTGAAAATCTGAAATTTTCAGACAAATCCGGCCAATCGGACCAGGAGAAGCGAATTCGCGAGATGGTGAATAAGGTGTTGGAGATGATGGATCAGAGGAAGACGCTGATGAGCCAACTGGAAGCATCGCTGAAAGCTGATGATATATCCAGCAAGATAATTGGAACTAATGAGAAGGGTAGGTTGGCACGGGACAATTGACTGAAAATCGGCTGAAAATGAGTCTAAGTTAGCTAAAAATGACTGAAAATGAGTCTAAGTCCACTGAAATCCACTGAAAACGAGTAAAAATCGACAAAAAATCGAGTCGAAACGCGTTTTCTAGGCCATTTCACCATAGTGGCCTAACTTTTGCAAGTCGGCGTTTTCTAGGCCACCAACTTTTTAGGCTGAAAATACGCTTAAAATCGGCTGAAAATGAGCCGAAACGCGTTTTCTAGACCATTTTAACTTGGTGGCCTAACTTTTGCAAATCGGAGTTTTTTAGGCCACCATGCTAAAATGACCCGGAAAACGCACCATTTTCACATGGTGGCCTAGAAAAATTCATGGTGAGAAAGTTAGGCCACCATGTCAAAATGACCACCAGGCGCTGATTAGGTCTTGTTTAGGCCATTTTCAAATAATGGCCGAACTTTTGCAAGTCGAAGTTTTCTAGGCCACCATGCTGAAATGGTCCTAAAACAGTCAAAAATTCTCAGAAAATTTGAGTATATAGCTTTTTTGAGCGGTTTAGGGTCATTTAAGCTTGGTGGCCTAAAAAAATCTGACTTGCAAAAGTTAGGCCACCAAGTCAAAATGACCTAGAAAACGGATCAGGCGCACGTTAGGCCATTTTAGGCAATTTTCAAATAATGGCCGAACTTTTGCAAAAGTGAGTTTTCTAGGCCACCATTCCAAATTGGACCTTAAAACGGTCAAAAATGCTCAAAAAGTTGATTTCTATAGTTTTTTCGAAGATTTTTAACCCCTTTAGGACCAATTTACCATGATGGCCTAGGAAACTCAACTTGCAAAAGTTAGGCCACCATGCTAAAATGGGCTAGAAAACGGATCAGGCGCAGGTTAGGTCATTTTTTGGTCATTTTAACATGGTGGCCTAGAAAACGCCGACTTGCAAAAGTTAGGCCAGCATGTTAAAATGGGAAAGGAAAGCTTACCAGATCAATATCAGGCGATTTCCAGGCTATTTAGCATGCTGGCCTAACTTTCGCAATGGGAGTTTTCTAGGCCACCATGCTAAAATTAGGTGTGTATTCTAGGCACTTTTGACATAGTGGCCTAGAAATCTCCACTTGTGAAAGCTAGGCCACCCCAAGCTAATTAACATAAAAAGCGCACAAGCTATCTCTAGGCAACAAAAGCTGGTGGCCTAGGAAACTTAAAAGTTAGGCCACCATGTTAAATAGCTCATTTCCCAATTCCAGGAGCCGAACAAATAATGCACACGGAGCTGGAGAAACACTCGGATGCTCAAAAGTACATTCGCCTGAACGCGACGGCCCAAGACGCGATTCTCCGGGCGTTTACAGATGCCAATGCTGACTTTTTTGAGGTAAATTCAGTCGTTACCGACCCGAAATCGTCTGAAAATCGGCTGAAAATGAGCTATTCTACCATGCTGGCCTAACTTTCGCGAGTTGAAATTCCTAGGTCACCAAGTTGAAATGGCTCGGTAATCACCTGGTGTGGTTTCTAGGTCATTTAGCATGGTGGCCTAGAAAACTCCGACTTGCAAAAGTTCGGCCATTATTTGAAAATGGCCTAAACATGACCTAACCAGCGTCTGGTGGTCATTTTGACATGGTGGCCTAACTTTCTCACCATGAATTTTTCTAGGCCACCATGTGAAAATGGTGCCTAACCTTCACCTGGTGCGTTTTCCGGGTCATTTTAGCATGGTGGCCTAGAAAACACTACTTGCAAAAGTTAGGCCACCAAGTTGAAATGGTCTAGAAAACGCGTCTCGGCTCATTTTCAGCCTCCAAATTTGGTGGCCTAGAAAACTCCGACTTGCAAAAGTTAGGCC